AAAAACCTTTATGAAACTCAAGGAAAGACAAGCAAACAGTTGCTGTGCGTTAACTTAATGTAACTATATGACCAAGAGCAAGATTTTGCTCGAACTCAAGCTAATTCCAACCTGGAGGAATGCCAGGGAAATTCAAGACATCCAGTTCCTGGGGCCTGCCCGGCACGGAGGGGAGGACGGGCCGAGGAACGCGGCGCTCCATTGGCGCAGACTTGGCCGTCCTTGACATGAGGATGCTGTTACCTCCTGGGACCTGAAGTCTGGCTGCCAGGAGCTGCAGGGGAAGGAGCAGGGACAGGCACAGGCAGTGCTCCTCCTGGTTTTCATGGTCTTCCCAAAGCTACTGAACACGGGCAGAAGCTAGTCAAGGGCTGCAAGGGCATTGGGCTAGTTCTTGGGGGGTGTTTGGGTGAGCCCTTGGATATTTTACGGGTGATGCTCCGGCACTGAGGCTGGGCAAGCTCAGCTGGGGAAGCCCACCCCCTCACTGACCATTTACCCCAAGTTCTTGCCTGCCTCGCTCCTGCAAAGCAGCGGTGGTGCAGCTGGCAGGTCCCACTCTGCTCCTCAGGGCAAAACACTCAACGGGGGCACCAGTTATTACGCAAAATCTAAGACCCTCAACAAGAGGCTCTATGGACCGAACCTTTTTATTTCCTCCCTTCTAGAGACAGCTTTGTCTGAGAAGTCAAGATTACAAAACTGTATGGCTGGAGGCTTTATCAGCAGAGTCAGAAGGAGGAATGTCCAAGCAGGGTGAAGCAGCCTAGGGGCAGCTGGGACATGCTTTGTGCTGGCACCCCCAGCTCAAGGTGAGCTACGATCAGCGGGGAATTGTGCTGAACTGCCATCATTGCACTGTCCTGGAGGACAGGAGGCAGCCACCATGCTGAGCAGGACTTGCTTCGTCTTTAACAGCAATACAGTATCGAGCATCACTGAATCTTGAGAACCAATGAGATGGCAGAAAAATGAATCCCTTGCATGTAGGTACCACCGATGATTAACCAGCTCAATTTATTGGAGGAGGTGCTTTGGGGAATAGTCTTGATCATTCAGGTCTGAAGTGCCTGATCCTGGCTCTGGCACCAGGATAATGGGCTGGGTGAATTCATTCTGCTCTGCTAGCACAAACTCTCCCCTCCAAGACACAGAGAGCAAAGTCTCCTGGAGAGTATCCACAAATGGCACTGAGAACCACACAGGAGGAAAGCAGGGGAGCATAGAGGGCTTTTCCCTTCAATCATTGTGTGAGAGCAAAAGACAATCCAAGGAAACCCTCTGAAAGGCAATTGGTGAAGAAAGGAAAGGAAATGCCATTACAAAACTGGAAACCTCACCTTCTTATTGGTGCCTCTTTGGCCCGAGCAAAGTCTGAGATGAGGGACTGTTACATGGAGCTGCCCAGTGATGAGTGATGCTCCCTCCTCCTGCCTTCCTTCAGGGACTGCTTATCATCAGTGGGATGGACAGACAGACAGACAGAGCATGCGCTGGGCCAGGAGAGGCCGAAGGAGAGGAATCTTAATAATCAGCCTAAAATTGATTCACTTCTGCTCAATCTGATTTCTCCTAACTGGATCCACATGTCCTGGCCATGGCACATTAACTTCAATTATGGCTTATTAATGTCTCCCTGATGGAGCGTGCCCCGCTCAGCTCTGTGGTGACTGACGTTATGAAGGGGAAAAAAATGACTCCAAAGAGACACAGTGTGCAATGGAAAGAGGACTGGCGGCTTTCATCGTGCCGACCGCCAGTCCTGGCAGCCAGGAGAAGCTCATTCACCCATTCCTGAGAAGCTCATTGCTGTACTGAGGAGAAAACTAAGCAGTGAATAGAGATCTGTGGGGAAAAGTCTTTCCGCTTCTCCTCCTCACCCTGCTCGGCACACACACAAGCACAGAGGCCAAGGGCTTGCTCCTGTCTATTCCTGTCTTGACTCCTCTGCATCTCCAGTTACTCTGCAGATCAATAAGGACAGGATGGAGGAAGCAAAAAAGAAACAAAACGAAGAAGATACCAAGAGGGAAGACAGCAAAAATAAACTGTCAGCCACGAATGGAGAAATGGACCTGGCTGGGGGGAAGGAGATGTAGGCAGGAGGCCCTGGAGCACCAGCCCATTGAAGCAACACCCAGGAAGGGGGCAGTGACCCTCAGGATTCACCAGACCCCTTGGAGATACTTAGATGGGGACTCAGGAGCACACGGACCAAGCGGATCCGAGAAATCTCTCCGAACCCACCAGCTAAGTCTGTCGCATGAGAAACCACCCGGACTTCTGGTCTGCTCTAGGGCAAAGTGTTTTACTCTTCCCTTGACTGTGAAACAAGCTGCCACATGTCTCATCGCCCTGTGGGCGCTGCCGGCTGCTGACCATAATCCTGGTGCCATAGAGAAGCCCAGGCAATGCTGTGCACTCCGACGGCATGTGGCTTCTCCGGTGCCACACACTGTGGACAGGCACCGCTTCTCCGACCTCCCGAGGCTGCTTGCATCTCTCCTCTCCAGGTGGAATTTTCTGGTTGCTTTTTGCCTTTGAGCCCTCATTTTGTCATAATCATCTTCCCCTCCATGAACCCTGTACTGGGGTCCTTACACCCCCCCATTTTATCTAGGCACTTTCCTCCTGTTCCTCAAAGATGGTTGTTCCTACATCATGCGTCTGTCCCCAGCCTTGCCTCCCCCTTTGCCCACACAGCTCTCCTGTCAAGCTCACATTGATTTCTCCTCTCTTCCTCTCAATAACCCATCCCTTGTTGAGCCATACACAAGATTTAATTTGGTTTTAGTCCCTGTGCTGTAACTGGCTTTGCTTACAGCTGGAATTAGATTGCTTTCCAGCGAAAAAACCTGCTTGCTGGGACCAGAATAATCACAGGAGCCGTTAATTCACCATAAGCTTCTCCACCTTACACACCACTTATCCACAGCTCCTCAGCTCTACACCCTTCCCTGTCCTGCGCCCATCAGAGATGGAAGAGTCAGCCCAGGACAGGCATCGCTGTTGTCCTCATCCATCTTCCCCAGGATGAGTGTCCCTTTCTCCTGGAGTCCAGCCCAGCAAGTGGGAACACCCAGGGAGAGCAGGAGCAGAGCAAAGCTGGGTCTTGCTGTAGCTCAGGACTTGGAGTCTGGTACGGAAAAAGCAGATTTCGGAATTTTCTTTGCCCCCAGCCAAGGAACAGCTCTTTTCTCGCAGAGGTCCCGCTGCAGTGGACTTGCTGGTGGGCAGCTCGCGGTGAGCGGAGCCAAGAGGGAAGCGGAGCCGCTGCTCTGCAAAAAAAAACCAGCCTCAGGGCCGGAAGCGGCCACCAGGAATTAGCCAGCAAACCCCAACCCAACTCATTCTGGCCCCAGTAAAAAGTAGCATTGCAGCATCCCTCCAGGGCGCTCACAGCCAGAGTCTCCTTCACCAGCACAGCCCTCGGCATGCAGGCAGCTGTGGAGTCTCGGATGGCTCATAGCGGTTGTGCCCCTTGCGCCCCAGAGTGTTTGAAAGGGTTTTCTTCCCTGCCCTAGTTGCCTCTTTCCACAAAGTCTATAGGCATTTTATTTCTCAAAACAATCTCTGCTGCTATTAAATGGTATTAAATTTGGCCGGTGAGTTCAACGGGGACTGGGTGTGGGGGGAAGGAATACAGGTGACAGCCAGCAAGGTGCTGGTTTGTGAAGAAGCCCACCAGTATGGCCTGAAGACAAAAGTACTGAAGCAACATGTCCTGCCCAAGGCAGGCAGAAAAGGTAAAGGGCTCTAAGAAGGAAAGCATTCACGGGACACCAGAAGTATTTCAACATACATCTTAAAGCCTCAGGACTGAAGTAACAAGTCCTCGGTTATCTACACAGTTGTCTTCATGTTTGGAAGCCAAAGGTCACTGCACAAGCATCAACATTTAATCCTAATTTATTACTTTCCGAGCTGAAAATTCTGCATCTCTGTTACAGAGCCTAAGCAGCCCAGATAAACTGATAAACCAGCTCCAACCCTTCTGCTGCTCCGGTCAGCCTGGGCTTTGGCTGGGATCACAAGCACCCTGAACACCGCCAGCCCAGCTGAGAGCCACAGCTGCTCATCCTCGGACACAAGAGAGAGCCTCTGCCTGCTGCTGCCCTCACCACTGCCTCCTCCTGTCCTGGCACATCCCTTACTGCAGCTTCCCTACCCTTGGAGCCCTTTCAAAGCCAGCCTCAGTAGCACCTGTGAAGCATTTTTGCTTGCAAGTCTCAGAAGCAAACAGTTTGGAACCAATACAGACAACTCCTCCGTTGTGGTGGTGATTCTTGTTAGCACGGGGTGGGTGATGGGGAGATTTTTTTCCCCTCTCGCCTGTAATCCATGGGCTGGATGGGAGATTAGCCATCTCGGCATTTTTCCACCTTACTTTGCTTCTTCGGTTGATGTCATAACGTAACATATGGCATTGTACAGAGAAATGAAAAACAAAACCTAGGAGAAACAAACCCCTTCCTGCCTTCCCCTGCCCCAGAACTGTTGAGGAGTTTTCCTTTACCCCACACTTTGTCCACTAGAGCTGGGGCTGACCCAGGGGGGCAGGACTGACTTGGGATGACCTATCCTGCTTGAACTGGCAATGAGCCAGGGTTTAGTGGGGCAAGACTTATTCCTCACCACCCCCCCTCAGATCACCCCTCAGATTTTTGGGCAGCAGCCAGCTGTGTTTGCACAGCTGGAGACAGGGTATCTGAAGGGACGTCAGGCTCCGACCATCCATCCATGCCATGTCCTGGCTCCCCCAGCTCTGGGAGGACACAGCCCTTCTCTCAGACACTGCCTTGGAGGTGCCTCAGCCATTCCCTGCAAGGACACATCTGTTTTATCACCGATGCTGCCTTACCTGGGGAGAAAAGGGATTAGAGGGAGAAACACTGATAACCTTATCGGTTGACAGAAACGCTGATGGCTTAGCTTTCTAGCAGTAACCCTCTCCTCATCCCTCCAAGAAGAGATGCCCAAAGAAATACAGCAGCCGTTACCTGCCAGTGACTTCAATGTTGGAGACGGCATAGAAGTACTTGTACAAGTTCTCCCTCTGCACGTAGGTGCCCCCCAGGGCCGGTCTCAGCAGTCTCATCCGCAGGTCGGTCACGGTGAAGAAGTCCTTCAGCCCTTTGGCACTCTCCAGCCGGGTGTACAAGTTGTCCATGTTCTTGAGGTCGGGACCAGCGAAGATGGCAAAGCGGTCCCTCACCTCGAACCGGACAGTCTTCTCTTTTTTGGAGCCCGCCCAGCGGGAATACTCCTCCGTGCAGAGGACTCTGTTGGCACTGGTGGTGGAGAGGTCCCGGACCCTCCGTGCTGGCATGCTGAAGGCCTCCATGCAGTCATCTGCGTAATATTGGTATGGGTGCCAAGTCCTCCCGTTGTCCAGTGACTTCTCCAGCATCATGATGGTAGGTCGGCCGTACTCGAAGGTTATCACGATGTCATCTGTCAGCTCGATGCTCTTGTTCCAGGACAGAGTGATGTTGGCCAGCAGCGGCTCCGGGTACCGGCGCCACGTCACGCTCTGCCAGTATGTGGCCAACCCTTCATCCTCGCTGTCAAACATGAGTTTCGGTGGGTGGGCCAGGTCCGGGTTGGAGGCGTCGCACTCGTCGCTCCACAGGTATGGGTTCTCCTGGAACAACAAAAACCGTCACAGGAGAAGAAGGCAATGCCTGGGCATCGCGTGGGAATCACAGGCACGCGGCCGAGCTCGCACCGTTATGGGGCCCTGGTTTTAGCTGCCTTTGTCAAACATTAACTGCTGGGCTGAACCAGAGCGTGCCGGGAGTCTGGGTCTGGATAACGTTGTTTCTGAGCATGAATATAAGACAAAGATACGTGGCTTTGCCTTTGCTATAGGAACAGCTGAGCTGTTTCCTTAGAAAGACCCTTGAGGAAAGGACCTTTCAATTTGGCACGGGGGGCAATTTTCATAGAAAGCACTTTCCCTGAGATGGTCTCTGAGAAACTTCACTTGAGCTTGGCTGAGTTACAAGCCTACAGAAAGCGGCGTTCATGCCTGCTCCCTCAAGCACGGAATGGCTGAGATCCCCAAAGCACATCCAATGCGTCTCATGGCTCCTGACGCTGATGGGACTGGGGACATGCTGTCCCCTCAGCACCTCTGAGCACAGCTAGAGGAGGGTGGTAGCAGTGAGAGCAGAGATTTGTGCTCCCGGTTTCTACATTGTCCTCGGGACAGCACCCTGGCCTCGGGGACAAGCATAGTGGGTATGCTCAGGGTGCACCTGCTCAGTGCCATGTGATGACCATTGCTGCTCACTCCTCAGTTCAACCTACCCAAACCAACCAGAGGCTGAGCTGACAGGGGATCGGGAAGGGAATGGGGCAGGTGGCTCTGTGCCCATCCACCAGTGCTCAGAATGGACCTGAGACTCCCACAGCCAGAACACTGTCCCCAGCCACTTGCTGAGTGTCTAGGTGCCCTTAGCCCATGGTAAATAGAAGGGAACATCAGTTAATGTCTGTCTTTGCCAAAACCAAGTAACTTAGCTGTGCCTGGCAGCCCCTTTCTCCACTGGGACAGACACTTCTCAAGCCGCGCTGCCTTCCCCAGCTGCAGGCAGGAGATAGTCCTCCCCTGCCTGCAGGGACCACAGTGGGAAGGATGGCTCATGCCATCCAGGTGACATTGCCTGCTGCTACATCGCCCGGGAAAAAAGATCCAGCCATCCCATTTTGCCCACAGGTGACAGCTTGCATGGTTTGCAAGGACACACATACACCCCCATACGTGCTGAACTTGTGCTAAGGATGTTTTGTCAAGGTCACACACCAAACACTGAAGTTTTGGAGAGCATCAGGGTTAGCAGTGACAATGGGTTTAGTGCTCACTGATATGTGTGTTAAAGCTCGTGATTACTTGCCCTGCAGCCTCCAGGAGCACATGGGTCAGTGGGTACCATTCACCAAAAAAACCCTCTGCAATATATGGCAAATCTTTTTTTGCACATGAAGCATCTCTTTGCTGTTGCTTTACTTCTCTCTTGGACTCAAAACCCAAAGGAATCAGGAAGGAGAGGGATTGGTACAGCAGCAGGCTCTGCTGTGAGGAGACCCTTGTCAGGGAATCAGAGGCACCTGGCAGAGGAGGAGCTGATAAAGCAGCTGGAGCAGCTCAGAGCTGATGGCTGGAGGCGAGGAGCCTGCTGGGGTGTGAGGTCTGTCCCTCCTGAGCACAGCGGACTTGCAAGGTAGGACCAAGTCAGCTTTTGTGGTTTGGTTTGTGAACGCTTTGTGTGTGCTGAGGAGCCTGGGAGATTGTGCTGCTTGTGGGGAGCAGCGTGATCCTGCCTGGTCCTGGGAACCTCCTGCAGCACCAGGGCTTTGCTGAGCACAGGGGGCTGCTGGTCCCTGGCTCGCAGGGAGCTGGTGCTGGTACCTGGGGACTCAAACAGATGAGGTGTAGGGCTGGGGTCTGCACAGGCTGGTTGTGTCCCAGGGCTGGGAGAGCCCTGCTGCAAGTGTAGGAAGAGGCTGCTTCAGTGTCCTTGGCACCAGGGATTGATCCTGCACCATGGGCTAGCTTTGACATGTGAAAATATTGGAGCTGAAGTGATTGTGACCTGTGTTTAGGGTGCCCTGTGTACACTCTGGACAAAGCAGAGGAGGGGATCTTGCTTGTACAGATGAGTGCTCTGAGGCATAAACTGGGGTTGTGGAATGTGGAAACTGTGAGTAACATGGAAACTGCTGTGTAACCTGAGGTGCTTTGGAAAATCTGGGCTTTGTCATCTCCAGCCAGGCAAGCAAAAGTCCTGGGAACTACTAAGAGCTTCTCCCCTCCCTGTCTGTAAAATGGGCATTCGGTGCCTCCTCGCAGCCCGGAGACATGTGCTGAATGCGAGCAACTCTCCACGCAGCGAGTGGAGGCCACAGCGCTGAGAAGCCTAGAAAAGCTCAGGAGGGCATAAATAATTCTGTCGTCTGAGCAGCGTGTGAGTAGCACGCTGTAAATAAGGCAGAAGGCTGCTCCGCCAGCAGCGGGGATAAAACAAAATAGTGAGCAGCTGATCTGTACGTGAGCACCAGGCTCCTTTGCAGGGGATGCAGCAGCAGCCTTGGGGAGAAGAGGGGACTCCGGTAAATATAGCGTGCGTTGTCGCGTGTGCGTGCACGAGGCTGCCACGGAAAGCAGCAGAAGCCAGTTGATGAAGCAGGGCAAAACTCGTACTGTTTTCAACGTTGTCCTGCTCTCAGACATGAACTTGCCTGACGGCAAAGCCACGAGCGCCGTGCTGGGATTTGCGCCTCCTGTTACAGCCTTAACTTGAGCGACGCGTGGCTTTTGCCATCTCCCTGTGCGCTGGGAGGAAGGGCTGCAGCCGGAGCTGCTGAGCTCTGGTGCAGTGCCCATGCCCGGAGCAGGGAGGCCACTAAACACATGCTCTGGTTGGTATTTTGAAAGCAAATGGCTGGATAGTTTTTATTTTGCTGAGACAAATAAGCAAGGGAAATCGACGGAGTGCTCAGGCTTGCTTGGGTGGGTGAGGTTGGGGGGTGAGGGCACCAGCCCAGGTGCTCCCCACTCCCCTCTCAAAGAGAGGGAGATGCCACGAGAAAGGGGAGATGCCAGCCGGAGGCAGGGTGGGGAGCTCTGAGCCATGCTGGGGGGTCCTTTCCTGCTGTGACACGCTGTTCTAGAGCAGGGATTAAAAACTCAAAGATATTGACATATTTAATATGCTCTCCTGACTCGTCACGTTCAGAGGAATTGTTTACCTCTGCTAATGAGCCACAGCTTCCTGCCGGGGGACGGAGCTGCCTCTTAGCGCAGCTTTACGGTGGTGGCTGATGGAAAAGGAGGAAAAAAAACCATCAGCTGGAGCCCTGAGCACATTTCCCGTGCTGAGACAACATATTGTGTTGTAGTCTGGTCCTCCTGCCAGTGTGGTCATACAGATGGCTTAATAGGATGGTCTTCAAAAGAACATCCCAGAGGTCCGTTTTCACCTCTTGTCTGAAAGAGGGTGCAGCAGTGTGGAGTCTTGGTGGGCTCAGGTGGTGAATCGGCTCGTGATGGCCGTAGAATCTCCCTGAGCAACCCAGCCTGCTGCTAAGAGCAGCTATGAACAAGCACGGGTCTGTGTGCACGGAGCAGTCCTGGCAAGAGTGCTCTTGCCGTGTGGTTTCCTTCCCTTGTGTGCTGCAGCTGTCAGGGCTGCCAAAGCCCTTGAGCTGGTGTAAGCTGAATCTCCACTGACTATTTGCTGCTTGAGCCATCCCCAGCATGGCCACAGTGGCCTGCTTCACCTTCAGGGCTATGGATGATGTTCCCACCAAGGCTTTCTTTGGATGCTTCCATAAGCAGCGGCCAAAAAGGGAAGGACTCTGCGACCAAACCACAGTAAGAAAATACCCAGACCAGTAAAGGGTGACCAGAGTGGGAGGTGGGACAGGCTCCTCAGAAGCAGTGGGGGAAGTGACCGAGTCTGACAAGCATGATTCCCTCCCAGTGTCCCGTCTGGTAGCACAGGGCTGGCCAGGCATGTCCCTGGCAGGAGACCTGGTGGCTCGAGAGCAGGGAGAAGTGGAGCCAGGGCTCTGCTTGTCTCCCATATGCTCTTCCCGGAGATCAGGGAACAGTGGTGCACAAACCTCGATAGCTCCTGTACCTCCCAACCTGTAAACATGCTCAGCCCAGCAGGCAGAAAGCCCAAAAATGTCTTTAACCATCGTGATGCTCTGGAGCAGCACATGGCTCAAAAGCTGCGCAGTTGTAACAGGGCAAACACAAAAACAACCTCTAAGTGACAGTGCTTGAAAGGTGGGGGAGAGCCTCAAAAGCCACCAGGTGAGTCACATCATTACGGCTTCCTCTGGTAAAATGAAGTGTTCCTTTTTGGTTTTTGGTTTATTGAATTGTCCTTCCGCCACGGGATGCTCAGTGCATTTTCTGCTCCTGGGGTGGTTTGAAGTCAGCCAGGAGGGCAGGGAGGAGCGGAAACAGATGGCCATACTTTGGCTGCTCCTTTGGTCCTGGTAAGATCAGTTATAGCCCTGTTGAAACAATTCCAGGTATTATTTTTGAAATTGGTTTCCTCCTCCAAGCCGTGTGTCCTCCAAAGAATCTGTCCAAAGTCTCAAGATATTTATGTCTTCAATCTAAAAGTCAGAATGCATTAGCCAGGCAAACTTGGGTCTCAGCGAGCTTAAAATAAACCAGCTCACTTTGAGTCTCATGCTATTAAATCAGTCGTGAGTGTCCTCACGGCAACTAGACATTGCAGGTTTCTGGTTCTCCAGCATGCTCTTCTGGTTGCTTGTTTCTTGAGGGCACACCAAAGAGCAACACAACCTTGCTTGGCTTCAGCTCATGCCAAAGGGGCAAATCCCCAGCGGCAAGCTGCAAGAGCCTTGTTGAGGGCAAGATGTCCTAACAAATGGCATCAGGGCAAGATTCTGCCTCCATGGGGCAAATCTTTTGGGTTGGAAGGGGTCTTTAAAGGTCATCTAGTCCAGGGATATCTATAACTAAACCAGGTTGCTCAGAGCCCCATTCAGCCTGACCTTGAATGTTTCCAGGGATGGGGCTTCTACCACCTCTCTGGGCAACTTGTTCTGGAGTTTCACCACCCTCATCCTTAAGAATTACATCCTTATGCCTAGTCT